AGTGCAGCCTCAGCACCGTGACCAGACGCTGGCTCGCCGCAGGCAGGGCTCCAACAAGGTTCCTCTCCTGCACCCAGCCCCGGGGCCTGTTAGCGTGCTGCGGCGGGTGAAACAGGAGGCAGCTGACACCTCCCTGCAGTCGTGGGTCCCCTTGTCCCCATTCACACACGGGTTGTCCCCACCAGCCCATCCAGGCACTGATGCTCTGTCAGAGCCTTTGCCCCCCCGCCAAGGAATGCTGTGCTGTCTGAGACCAGGATAGGACCTGCAGGAAAAGGACAAAGCATCTCCTGGGGCTGCCTGGTGGGGTCCTGCTGCTTTTACAGCTCCCCAGGGACTCCAGCACCAGCCAGAGGAGACGCTGCAGATGTCCCACGCATGATGCACTCAGTCCCAGACGGCTCCCAGAAAGGCTGGTCCCAAAGCCCAGCTGCCCTTGCTCCCAGTTCACACCAGCATCCCTCTGGCTTCGTGCACAGCTCTTCCTCCTGTTGGGCTGCAGAAACAGGCACCGCATCCACGCACGGGCTGGGCAGCTGCCAGGAGCCCAGGCAGCTGCCTTCCTTTGCCTGCCTTCTTCCAGAGGATCTGAAAGAGACTCATGTCTTTTAGAACTAACAAAAATCTCTGACTGGGTGTGCCGGAGGAGCTGGAACCCTGCGACCCAGGGACTGGGCTCGGGGGGGCTGTCAGAAAGCTCCCAGGCATGGTTGGTGGGGCGACGCGCTGCTTCACCTCAGGACGGTGCCAGCACCTGACACCCCTCACGCCACGCAGGGAGAGAGGAGAGCCAGGGAAGACCCCGAGTGCCCCACCCAGGCGCGGCCGTGGGTGCAGGGAGGGCGGCCGCACACCCCCAGCAGCAGAGCTCTCGGCTCCCTGCAGCCTCCTGAGTCGGGAAACAGCCCCGGGCGCTGCTGGTCCCTGCCCAGAGCCCCGGGCAAGCGCCAGGTTTTGCCCATTGCCTCCACCTGACCACCAGCACAAAGACCCCCCCTGCCCGCCGGGCGCGTCCACGCTTGGGGGACCTAGGGACGTCGGGGCCAGCTCCCCTCTGAGCACACGCTGCCACCCTCGCCCCAGCACAGCCCCAGGGCGCCCCGGGGAGGGGAAAGCCTTCCTCTTCTGCCACCCTCACCACTGCTCCAGCAAACCAGGCGCATCTGATCTTCCAGGAGACTGATAGAGAGAGGATGCTGGTGTCATTATCAAGTTAATTAGAAAAACTCAAATGGAGCTTTAAACATTTTTATAATACATTGGGGCCTTTTTGGCAGGATTATTGCATCTTTTGGGTTTCCATTTCCCATTAAAGCATTCTCAGTAGTGCATATATAAAAGCCATGTGATCTTGGCTCCTCACTGCTTTTTTTTTCTTTTTTTAAAGACATCTTTTTTGGGGTAAGATTTATTAAATATTGTAATCAGTTAAATTCTGGCAGCTTAAACATTTTCTTTAATAGCCTTGTTAAATGTGGATTAGATTTAAAATCCCTGCCTCTGAACTCTGGAGCAGCAGTATTTATATGCAATGTTAAAAAAATTAAAAGCTTTACAAAGTGGTAATTACTCCTCTGATGCAAGAGGAAAGAGACTGACTTTCTAAGTTATTTTAAGGCAAGTTTTCCAGCCTAACCCTTCTTGGGCAATACTACACAAGCATGATTTATTCTTTCCCTGGGAAGTGTAGCGGCTGGCGGAGCCCGCAGCATTTGAAGGGCTACCAGCTTCACACCGAGCAGCCAGAAGTGCTCACAGGACCCTGCGCCCGCTGAGCCCCCCGCGAGCGGGACCCCCTCGCCCCGCGCCGGGAACAGCCCGGCAGCCCCCACGCAGACAGCACCTGCTCGGAGAGCCCCCGGCTCCTGAGAGCCCCCGCGGCTGCGGCCTGGCTGCTCCCGCTCCCGCCCGCCCTCAGAAAGCCAAGCGGAGACCAGTGAGGCCAGGCCGGACACTGGGGCCACACAGTTCATGGCACTTGTAAGAATTCTGCTGCATCCAGACCGGGCACGTCCTGGCCATCATCACAACCCCCTTGCTGCGCCTGCAGGGAGCACTGCACCGAGACCCGATTTGGTGTTACCTGAACCCCAGGAAAACTGTCGGGCAGCGTTTAGAACAGCTGAAGCAAGGGGAAATGCCCTTTCCCACCCCCTCTGCCTTTCCCCATGCAGCAGCTCCATTTCACTGACGGGTGTGTGGGGGCACACGGGAGCTCCCCGACCCCAGCCCGGGGCAACGCTCACTGCTGATGCCACCAGCCCGGTTAACTGGTGCTGGTGAGGCAACCAGAAGGCAGCCCTGCCCGCCCTGCCCGCTCAAGGTTTCCCGGGGAAGGCTACAGAGGGGCTGCAGCAGAAGGCAGCATGCGTTCCTCTGTCACTACGTGTTAGCAGCAGCGGTGTCAAGGCTCTGCAGTTGGTCCTGTTTGTTAACAAACATGTTAATGAGCTGGAAAGGGCAGGGAGTGCGAGCAGTGATTTACAAAACGCCCCACAACACCAATCTAGACGAGCAGGAGCGGAGCAGCACCTCGAGGGCAGCCGCAGCAGCCTCAGGGACCGGGCACACGTGGGCACCACCAGTGCAAAGCCACGAGTGGCGGGGGAGGCCCAACTGTCCCCGCACCCCTGCAGAGCACTGAAGAACCTGCCCTGGGGGGGTCAGGACCCAGGGCAGCACGGCCCGGGGACACCCCTGCGCCCACCACGGCGCGAGCACACACAGGGCAGGGTGAGCCCCCCGCCGAGGACTGCAAGGCGCCTCCCAGCACCGCTGGAGCCGAGCCAGCAAAGCCTCCCTGGCAGGAAAAGATCGCTAAAAGCCCCTCGCGATGGCCTGGGGGTCAGGCAGAGGGTCCCGAGGGTCAGATGGAGCTGCCAGGCTTGCAGGCAGCCCCCTGAGGCCCGGGGCAGCCCGAAGAGCCCCGCGGGCGGCGCGGGGTGGTGCCCAGCAGAGCGCGGCCCTTCGCCTGCACCCCCGGGCCGGGGCAGAGGAGCCCCCACCCCTGGCACCGCCAGGCCGGGGCGGCACCGAAGCGCCTGGGTTCGTGCTGTTGGAAGTATGAGTTCTGCTGAATATGTCTGAGGTACAGAAGGTACCTTCGGGAACCTTAACTGGGTTTTAATGAAGCTTTTTGCCATTGAATGTAAGTCAATTTTCTTGGAGTGATTACCCTATCTCTAGAGGGTATTGTAGGAATAGATGAGAACTAGAGAGGGACAAGAATAATATCAAGGACTGGAAAAATTCTCAAATAAGGAGAGACAGAAAAACAAGGTAGAAACAGAATGAATAAATAATAAATGGTCTTGAAGAGACAGTCTGAGAGCACCTCTCATCCCACTCTCATAACAGAGGAAGAGAAAACATGATATTGAATTAAGAGGTGGATGAAAGGGGAAATACTTTTCTCATGTGATCTGTAACACACGCATGAGCCTCAGCACGGCACAAGCCCACGTGTGCTCCCCGGGGGCCGGGGTGCTCTGCTCTGCCCGACAAGTGCAAAGCGCTTCAACCCCGGGGCTGTGGGGCAAGAGCCCGGGACCCTCGCAGGGCCTTTGCCCGGCTGCACGCCGGCGCACAGACGAGCCCCCCGCACGAGAGGCACCTTCACCCAGCCCAGGGAAACTCGGACTCGGGTTGTCAGGGCTGAGGTCTCGGCACACGCAGACGCTGCGCTCCCACCCCTGGATGCCGGGGTCCGCCCTCTGGACCTGCAGGTGGCACCCGCAGGGACTGTCACCAAGCCACAGGCAGAACACGGCGATAAACAGATTTAAAATGTGCTAAGGCAGAAAGAGGTCCATGAGCACATTTCTCCTGTCCCCCAGCTCTGTGAAGATGGCTACTGGGGGTGGGACTTCAGGGAAAAAGAAACTCTCTTCAGCTCTGTACTAGAGAATGGAGACTTTCTCCTTTTAAAATTCATAAACCAACATAGACTGTAAGTTAAAAAATAAGGATCCCCTATTTACATATATCACTGCAACAACCACCGTGCTCGTTATGAATTATTTAGCATAATGCACTTTCACATCAGCCCTGCCTGCTCAGTGGCCTCCTCTCAATTAGGCGTTTATGGCAGAGGGGTCAGTAATAACAGGTCACTTAAAATGTAAATAAAAGTGACACTGGGAGATGTGTGGGAGCATTTACTTACACTGTTATATTACTGTAAAAATGTGTTTATGAAGACCAATTCCTAGCATGTTTACTTGTCATGCAAAAAATGTGTTTAGCAAAATGCACATTAAACATAATTTACCCGGTGCAGAAGCCCTGGATCCAGCTGCTCCTGCCCCTGCCCGGGGGTCCCCAGCCCTGGCGAGGCACCTCCCGGCTGTGCTCTCCCTCCCTTGGCACCGGGGCGGGAGCTGCAGCTGTTCAGAGGCTGCCATCAAAACTTCTCACAGACTGAGTTTGGTTTTGCCAGTTTATTTGGCTTTTAAAAGGACTGTGTTTCAGGCAAACGTTCTGGGCTTTTCCATCTGATGCCATTTAATGCTCTTAAAAAGCACAAATTCGGTAAGGAAATCAGGTTCATCGTTTTGGAGTGAATTAAGTACAAGCACATAGAAAGGTTAGCCTTTGTTTCATGTTTTACAGTGCTTTTTGCTTTGCTGAAGTTTTTGAAAAGTTGTTTAATGTCAAGCCAATGTTCCTGGGCTTTTTGAGCTGCAAGCAAAGAGAAAAACCAGATTTTTATACCACTCCCCTGGACGCTCTCCCTGCTGGCAGCTTTTCCTCCCTTTTCTGCACAGCAGCCTCCATCCCCGGCCGGCGCAGCTCCCCGGCCCTGTGCCCGCCGCGGCCCGTGACCCCGCGGACCCCACTGCTGCGGCCTCCAGCCAGGCAGGGAGCCCACAACAGTCCACAAAGTCATTTGCCACGAGTGGGATTAACTGGCATCCAAAATCCAACCGCTGCCCAGGGAGGGGCAGGGGCAGGAGGAGCGCGGAGCCGGACCCGGCTCCCCGCCGCCCCGCACACCCGGCACCAACGTGCCCCAGCGCCTGCTCCCGGACGGCGCGGCCAGCACAGCCTCGCCTTGTTCTTTGGCTTTGCAAAAGAAGGCTCTGAATTAAAAATCCCGCGGGGAGGGGAGCATCAGCGCCTGCTGCTGAGACACCTCTTCCTCCAGAAAGGCGGTGGGTGCCCCGACCCCGACGGCTCCTGCTGCTCCCCCACCCAGGCCGGGGTCACACACACCCGGCAGCCACCACCTCCCCGGGTGTGTGCGGCTCTTCCCACCACCCGCTGCTCGCCTGCATGGGAGGTGACAATAACAAGCCACTAATGGGAATCTGTTTGAGTGCCACTGTGTGGCAGGATCGTAAATTAATGGCCGTTTCATTTATTGTCATTTTATCCATAACAAGATGCTGATTTTCCCCCCAGGATAACAAAATCGGTCTGTAAGAACCATAAATCCTCACTGTGGTGCGAGGCCAGAGCAAGGTGTTGGATTAACGGGCTAATGACAGAGATGTGAAAGCTCATGAATCGCGCGGCTGCGAGGGGGGCGGGTGGCCGTGCGGGGGGAGCCCACACCGACACCCGCGCCAGAGCGTTCGTTGCTAAGGCTAACGGCGAGTTATTTCAGATGTCAGACCAGAAAGATCCAAACATCCCCTCCTGGCATGCCCTTGCAGCTTGCATTTCCTGCCCGTGGAAAATCGTTTTTTAAAGGCAAACCTGTCAGACCAAAACCACCCAGGATCTCCAACAACCTTCACCCCATCAGGGGTGTCCTAGACAGACCCCGCCCATGCAAGAGCAGCTCAGGGTCGGCCGCAAGGGAGAACTAAAGATTTGTCCTCCCTTCACTTAGAGCATAAAACAAAAACATATGCTGGAAATTTATAGGGTCTGTCGAGCTGAAACGCTACCTTTGCTACGTGTTCCTTGCTGTTCCCAGGACCATCAGCCAAGGACCTTTAATCTGTGGACAGGTACAGCCTCAGAGCAATGACCACCTGGAAATAAGAATTAAAAAGTCTCTCACAATTAAGTCTTTAAATGGAAAATAGAGTTAGAGGTGATGACGACCCTCTTCATCCCGCTGCAGAGGTATCTGCCAGGGCTGGAAGGAAACGTGTGCCTCCTGACCCCACGGCAGCGAGCCGGGCAGGGAGCAGGCTGCAGCCCCCGTCACACTGGTGTGACGCCCCCTTCTCGCAGCCCTCGAGTGCTCCAACCACCTGCCCGGTGTCTGCACACGCGCCCTCCCCGCTGCTCTCTCCTCCCATTCACAAGACAGGCTGGGCCGAGGCAGCTCCCCCTGCGCGAGGCAGGGCATCTCGCCAGGGCTGGCGGGGCAGGAAGCCCTCACCCGCCCAGGGCTGCCCCGAGGCAGCCAAGGCGTCCTGCGATGGAGGGGGCAACAGGGAGACCCCCAGGCCCCTCTGCTGCTCCCAGGGAGCCCTCTGCAAACCTGCACCTCCTGCATCCGAGCGCTAAGCTTCCTTTTTTTTAACTTGCATAATTCAGGACAGATATAATTTTAAATATTGCTATTTTTCTCACTCAGATATGAGAAATATTAACTGGCCAAACTTTGCTGTGGCTGTCACCATCCTTTAGCAGTGTGATTGCCAGTGGGGGATTTATAGTCCTCCCCGCACCTGGGTTATTTGAGTTTTGCTTTGCTGCAGGGCCAGGGCAACAATAAATTTCCTTCTCCTCTGGAACATGCTCTAACCTCTCATTTTCTAATAAAGCGTTAAACCTTGGAGCAACCCGCGCTGGCCTCGGTGCCTGAGAGGAGAGGACTTGCAGCTGAGCCGATGAGCCGCTTGCCGCGGCGGGAAGAGCCGCGCTGCCACCAACTCCGGCCTCGCTCTCCAGGCAGAGCC